CCGCGGTCCCTGTGCTTTTCTAAGCTTGTTCTAAGTAGGTGCTTTAGACCACTGAGCCATCTCACCAGCCCCCACATGGGAAATGTTGAGCTACAAAATTATTGCTGTATAGAAAATAAAGGATTTCAACGTTTCTAGGCCAGAAGCAATGTCATTTTCAAATAAAGATATTGAAGTAAACCTGCACTCATTAAGAAAAACAAAAATTTGAAAATACTTTTCCCAAAGTATGACACTTGCAAAGAATACCTGGCATGTGCAATAGCTATAGAGACTATTGTGCTTTAGTTTTTCTCCTCTTGTTTCACAGGAGAAAAAAAAAATTATACAGCTATAGCTAGTTGACAAAGGTTATAAGCTGTAAAGGAAACAATGTCAAAGAAGAATTAGTATTCTCATCTCAAAATACTAGTTTTACCACTTGCTGTTGTTTGTTTAAGCTAAAGAAAATGTGTGATTTCCTTTGAGCAGATACATCCTTTTGTTTTGGTTCAGTTTAGTTTGGTTTTTCATCTAACAAATGATAAACTAGGCTAGATACCTCTAAATTTTTTTTAGTGCTCTAAAACTACCCTCTGAAAGAATACTCTGCAGATGTTTAAATTTCCAAAATAATTCAAGTAATTTTTCATGGGAATGTCTCATATTTATACATACATTCTAAGAATTTAATCACTTGCATAATGAGAAACTGTTAATACAATAATTTTCTGTGTTGTCCTAACTGCCACAGTTCTGTTTTCTCAGTGTTCTTTCCTTTCTGATAGCAAAAGAACATACAAATGTGTGAGAAAAGACAGAAAAAAAAATTGATGCAGCATGTAAGTGAACCTTTAAGGATTTGCTATTTTTCTCTTCCTGTAGCCAAGGACCCTGACAATGTGCAGAACGTAGACGTCTCCGTAATCTCACCGACAGAATGTCAGAAAACCTATCCAGCCTACAAAATCAGAAATAATATGATCTGCGTGGGCATCGTGCCAGGAAGGAGGCAGCCTTGCAAGGTGACATATTTTCAATGCCTTAGTTTTCCCATTTTCTTTCTTGTGTCCCTTCCGCAAAAGATAATCAGTTTTCTTTTCTTCTGGCAGGAAATCTCTGCTGCCCCAGCAGTCTGCAATGGGGTGCTTCATGGAATCCTGTCTTACACAGATGGGTGCATTCTGAGGGCTGACGTTGGTATCTATAGTAGTATCTTTCACTACTTGCCTTGGATTGAAGAAACGATCAAGAACAACTGAGCTCCCATGGCAGGAATTCTGGACTATGTGATACAGTCTGTACCCACCTCCAGCCTCGGAATTAAACGAAGGAACTCCTTGGATTGCGTCTTGTGTGATTTCTCATTCTGTTGGACAATGCCAAAGACTGATCAATATTTCAGACATGACAGTCCTCTCCTCTCTGTAAATGAAGACTGAAAGCCCAAAACTCCCAGGGCAGTTGGAGTTTATGAAGTGGGTGTTATGTTCTCTCTAACAAATTGATAACCGATTCCCTGAGAAACAGAAAACCCCACAGACATGTGGGGTACTACATCCCCCACTACTTGAGGACACGTGCTTTTGAGATGTTACGCATATCCACTAGGAACAAGAAGTCTGACAAGAAGTGGGCTGAGTAGAAGGGTAGATGGGAAAGTGGTTCAGATGGGGACTGAAGGTAGTATGGCATTTAGCTTCTCCTTGTCCATACAACTCCAGTTAGAGGGGAACTCTAGATGTTCATTTTGCAGGATTCTGGATGTCTACTTAACCCACTAGAAGTTAATATAAAAGTAAATTGGGGCCTTAAGACATAGCCAATGATTAGGTGTTTTAGGACCCATTTTCCTAATATGTGTTTTGTTTTTATATTATGCAAATTCCCCCTGGAGCCTCCTCCTTCCTCCTCCTTTTCTTCTCTCCTTTTTCCCTCTGCAAATTCAGTTACCACCAAAGACTTTTCACTGATAGTTTTATATGGAGAGTTCATTTGGCTAGTTGAGCGAAGACTTAAAAAGAAAGAAAAACAGGATTTAGATAGTTCAGTCTGTGGCCCAACTGGAGGAAAAGAAAATTCCTCATTCTGGAAGTCAATTCAGAAATCCCAAATTCAAGCAGAAAAGCTTGTTCTCTCAAGGGCTGTAAAACCTCCAAACCAGGCGAGTCTAGGTTAGAGTACATTGACACAAGACTCTGCATATGAAGTATTAAGTACAACCATGATAGTATCATCTTCACATTGTACCTAATAACTTTTTAGTTACTACTGGAGAAATAAGCGACTTCAAACTCATTTTGCAGACAAGCATCTCCACCTCCAGAGATGTTTTCAGCTTTAGCTTGCTGCAAAGATTTCACCAGGTCATACTTATGTTGTGCAAGATCACCAGATTAGAGGCAAAATACATGGGGAGGTCTCTGTATCCTATAGACCTGAATGACACCCAAGGATCTCGCCAGGAGCAGTAGGAGATGATTCCTTAGTTGGAGGATGCATTCCTAGCTAGTTGAATACACAGGCATTCAGGTAATCGGAGCTTGGTGGTACTAGGACAATGACAATGGCAAACAAAAAAATGCAAACTAGGCATGGTGATGCATACCTGTAATCCTGCCACTGGGGAGGCTGAGACAGGAGGATCACTATGAGTTGGAGCTCTGTAGCAAGACCCTGTACCAAATAAATAAATGTTAATTTTTAAAAAAAAAATCATGGGCTGGGGAGACAGCTTAGTGGTCTAAGTGCTGACCTGGAAAACACAAGGCCCTGGGTTTGATCCCTGGTAACCCATGCCCTGCCAACCCTGAAAAGGTGTGTGTTGGCTCACACCTGTAATCCCAGCACTGGTGGGGCTGATACAGGAGGATCACTAAGAGTTGGAAATGTGTAGTGTGACCCTGTGCCAAATAAATAAATAGTTTTTAAAAGATAAAGTTTAGTACATAAGGTTAAAGGAGGCTAAAAGGTTATGGCTCTGATCTGAACTGTGCAGGAAGACCCTGCATCGAATTTAAAAAAGAAAACAAAAAGGAAATCAAAATTCAGTTGTGATGGTTGATTCCTTATGTCAACTGGAGAAGTTTAGAAACTTAAACCATTGGAATTTATGGGTTGGTGCCCAAAGAAATGCTGAGAAGACCTGATGAATACATAGCTTCAGAGGTCTCACTGAGATTAGTCTCTCTCAGAGTGAGCCCAGAGCCACCGAAACTTTTCACATTTATTGAGGGCTAAACAATGTATAGGCTAAGGAATGTGCATAACCACTTTTGTGAACACAAGCGATTCTCTCTATTGACTTGAGCATTTACCTAACTCTAAGTTTACATAGTGCTAGCCATTAACCTCCCAAGCAACGGAGGAAACAACAGAGAGAGTGCCAGCAGGAGAAGCCGCTGCCCGAAGCCTTGAATCTCAGCTTTCTGGAATTTACGAGTGAGACGCCAGTTCTCCTCCGGCTCTGTTCATTGCTCCCTGCTCCCTCAGGACACTAGGTTTTTGTCTCATCTCTATATTTCTGTACTTACCTAATTAAGAGCAGTTCTACATCCTCAGATGTAGAGGACACGCCCTAGAGCAGCTGTTAACCCAGGATGCTTCAAGGGTCGATTCACTGTGGCAACTTGAGAAGCTCAGAAGTTCATCTAACTGACCCAGCTAGAGGCCAGGGTCCTCACTTGTAAGGATCGTGAGCCTGTGCCAGAGGAGGGCGGATGCTGTGAGTGCTACACCACATGCTGGGGAGGGGAGAGGGGAGCCTTTTCATAATATAAGGGAGAAAAGAGGTTTGCCCTTTTTCCAGCTTTTGTTTTTGCTGTCTTTCCCCAGCATGCCATGAATGGTCACCCCTTAGCCATGTGCCACCTTACCTCAGAGCCAACAGTGTGACCTGAAACCTCCACAAAGTGTAAGCTAAATAAACCTTTCCTTCCTCAATTTTAGGTGTCAGTTATTTTGTCCCAGCAATGAGAGAAAAGTAACTAACACCAGAATTCATCATCTTCAGTGAAAACAAAAGTCTACTCTTGCATGATGAAAGGGACTCATCTATCGCCCCCTGGAAAGTGGGGTACCAAAGGCACAGTGGGCTCAGGTGGAGTTGGACACCAGGTCTGTTGGGCTTTTTTTTTTTCAACGTAACACCATGGTTTTATTTCTTTTTTTTCAAAGTTTTATTGATAAACAGATAGCAATGAGACAGTTTCAAATCAAATCGGAAGTACAGTTTCAACAAATAATACACTGCATATATTCTTCTTAGTGGTTAATTGCTGTACAAGATGCAGACTTGTGATCCTATTTACAAACACCATTAGAACAAATCATTCTATTCATTAAGAGAATGCAACTATATATCTATCCCAACCACTTTGAATACACAGATACAAAGTGGACATTCATCGGTATACCCCATTTTTTCTAAGTTTCGTTATTGAATATTATAGGTGTGTAAACTCAGCAAAATATTCTAAAAGAGTCCAGTAGCCCATAATAGCATTGGGTCTTCTGTTTAACTGGCAATGTCAGAAATTATTGACCTGAGTCCCCCACAGCTTAACTTAACAGCATGGCTTTATTTCCTATATTTCGTCTTCATACTTTTCTACTGGATGGTTAAGACCAAGGTAAAGCAGGACCTATGCAACAAGAGTTGTAGCTTTTTGGTCTGAGAAGGTCAGTGAAATGCCCTCAGGACTTATCCTGAGATCCTGTACCTCAGATTGTAGAACCTTTGTCAGTGCAGCCATGTGGATGAGTCACGGCCATTGCTTGGCCAATGTGCTCTCTGTGAAAGCCTGAGAGAGTGTCTTCTCCCCATGTGACTCTCCTTAGGCACACTCTCCTTAGGCACACGTCATCGATCACTTTCCTCTTTGGCCCCATTAATCTTCTTGATCAGAAAATTTGGGACACTACCGAGGTACATGACGTTACAGTACAAGTTCTCATATGTCCTGAGTCTTAATTGACCTTAGAAGACTAGGGCCAAAATGTTGGCTTTCCTTGTAGCCCTCCTGTTTCTCTAATTTTGGTCTGCAAACTTAGGTTTTTAACCATCCAGAAGACAAGCTTATTGTTATTATCAAACGATTTAGGCTATCAAGCTTAACCTCACTTCTCACTGCATTTCAAACATCTTAGGCATAATAAGGAACAGGTATTTTTCATCAAGTATTGATATGTTGAACTTTAAGTCCCTACATAATATGATAAAAAAACATTTAAAAATTAGATTATATTGTAAAAATAGGATAAAGAATTCTATGCTTCTCATGTTTGCACATAAGTCCAAAAATCTCACCATATACAACCTTGAAGCAGGACAGTCCCACAATATTCCTTTTCCTGTCTCTTGCTTTCATTCACCACCCCCTTCTTCTTGAACATCCACCTACCCGAGAGACATCTTAGCAGTAACTGGCATGTCATGACAAGCCGCCCATATTCAGAATACCACAATGACAGGCACTCTCTGTTGGGCTTTGAAGAAGTCTTTTTGTTCAGTCACCACCATGCTCCATTTGGCTCCATTCTCCACCTTGTTTACAAATCTCCTACAGAAACATCAGGAAGAAGTTCAGAGCAGCCCAAATTATTCATTTGATTATCAATCTGAAGAAAAATATTTTAACAGTAATTCCTGTAAGACACAATTATTCTCCTGTTCTGAGTTAAGCCTAAAAAAATTCTACCACATTACATACGTATTCCCAAAAGAGGATATTCCTATCTTTCCCAATTTGCTCCTTCTAAGTGTTTAATGAAACAGAACACTAGCCACTCTCAAGAAAAGTATAGAGGGCCGGGGAGGTAGCTCAGAGGCTTAAGCACATGCCTCTTGACAAGCTCTAGGTCCTGAGTTCAAACCCCAGTACCACAAAAAGAAAGAAAAGAAAAAGAAAAAAAAGAAATGTATAGAAATCTTAATCTCAGAAAAGAAAACAACCAGGTAAGCTGACTGGACTTCTGGCCCTCGAGAAGAATTCTGCTCTTTTTCCATCAGTGTATCCTTCAGAGTTTTCCTTTACAGCGGTCATGTGTTACTGGTACCAGTATATCCAGCACAGCTGTGTATAAACCAGTGCTCCACATCAGTAATCAAGAAAATGCAAATCAAAACCATAATCAGATATTGCTTTGCACCTATTAAAATAACTACAGTCTTAGTTTCTTTTTCCCTGCTGGGACAAAATACCCAACCCACAAAAGTTAAAAGAGGAAAGGTTTTAGCTCACAGCAGAGGTTTCAGTTTGTAGTCTGCTGGCTCCAGGACAGACAGGCACGGCAGAGGGGAGGCAGAAGGGAAGTAGTCTTTGGCAGAGCAAGCAGAAGGCAGTGAGGCAGGAGCATTATCCACACCCACAGCCAGGCTAAGCCAATCCATAGATTAATCAAGTTATGACACCCTTAATCCACAGTCACACACCCTGGATCCAGCCATATGCAGAAAGCGCCGCCCATGCATATGTGAGACTCCGAGGAAAACACCCAGACACAAGCCATAACAGCTAACATTTCCGTGCTGTTGTCAAATCTCCAACTGGTCTCTCCGTACCATAAATTTTGAGAGCAGGTTATGAGGCACGTGGGTCTGAAGCCAAGAGAAGTCAAAGGGTGAAGAAAACATGTAGCTACTGAGGAGAATATCTTTGTGGTCCTTTTTAATTTTCACTTCCCGCTAGGTAAGTATGTGCCGTGTGTCTAAATATGCATATGAGAGAAAGGGAGAGGGTGAGCGTAGGCATCACGGGGGAGGGGATGCAAAGCCTCACAAGGCTACAGGAAGGCAGAGAAAATGAGATCAGGTCACAGCTAACAAGACCAATGCGCAGCCAATACCACATGTCTGGAAGAACTTGTTCTGTTTGATATGGAGGGAGGCCTTTGTCAAGGCCCAAGTTTCTGCTCCCTCTGATTTATTGCTTAGGCCCACCTCACTCGGGGGAAGGAATTCTTGAGCTTGGACAGTACAAAGAACATTCCAGAAGAACAGCTTAAGAAGGGTCATGTGGAAGGCTATGTTTCTCCACAGCTCATGGGTGTTTTAAGAAAAATCCAGGACTCGGAAGCGTGCACACAGGCAATGATAGCCCAGCCCTGGGGTGAGCCCAGCCAGTGTCACAGCCAGATGACCCTCAGTTCTGGAGATCTTCCTGTGGGAAGGGAGAGATGAGATGAGGTGACAGATCAGAGGCCTTGGAAAGGGAGGAAAAAGTAAACTAAGAACCTGGTTGAGTTGCTACAAATCCCAATTAACAGAGTAAGGAGGGAGAAATGTGGGTCAATGGCGCCCCCTGCTGGCAAGACTCCCCACTCACCACAGGACTAAGGAAACCTCCCCACCAGGATTATCTACAGGAATCCCACACTACCCACCGCCTGAGAGACAGAGCAGGTGCCTTTCCCAGGCTGCCGCAGCCACTGGCTTCCCTTGCATTTCCGCCGTCTGCTAAATCAGTCTCCGCCTATGGAGAGAACGGAAAAGGTTCTAAGGTAGAAGCAGTGGCTCAGCTGTGGTATGATCAGATCTTTCTCCCCTCTCTCCTCTGTCCCTCCCTTCCTCTCTCCTTCCACCTTCTCTTGCTGTCATTCAAAACTTCCTAGTTGGTTCCCAACTGTTTGCCTGGAATCAAAATGTCTTTTTTTTTTTTTTGCCTCTCAATGGTGGAACTTCAGCTGCAAAATCAGTTCTGGCCTCTGGGCTTTTAGCTGAATATTTTCTGAGCCATCTATCAGATTCCAGACTCTGCTTGTTTCAGGGAACTTACATTTTTAAAGATCACCTTGAAATTAGGGCGTAATGAGCAGATATGGGTGTGGTAATGGGAACGGTGGTGTCATGAGAAAAATAGGTATTTACTTCAGGGGTGGATGGAGATGGCTACACACTCACCAACTCAGCCCTCCCCTTTCCTGAGCTCCCAGCCTTTCTCCAGGTTTCTTCTCAGCTTCTCTGTGGGGACTGAGATTGGGACCCAACTGTAGCAGGATTTTTATATATGCAAACTTTGGAAAGAAAAACCGAGGCCGAGTGTTTTCTGTGCCCCTCTGCAACATAATAAAAGCTTCCCCTAAGTTACCTAGTTCAGCCCTTGCCAAGACTTGTGAGATGGGTAGATTTGCCCTCCGCATGTTACGGGCACCTAGGTTTGAGAGGAAGGGAGACCTCCCCAAGGCTCATGCTCAGCAGAGACAAGGTGCGCACTCCAGACCTCCAGAACCAGAACCGAGGCTGAACTGCTGTGCTAGTCAGACAGAAAACAGCTAAAGGGAAATCAGCAGAGAGAGCGTCTAGTTGGGGTTAAGGTAGGAAAGGAAGATCTGTCTGGGCAGGAAGCAGGCTCCAGAGGGCTGTTGGGGCAGAGGAGGAGGGTGGGAACCAGGAGAGCCTGTGCCTGTGGTTTTTATTCAAATGCCCCAGCAAGGTTCCTCACTGTGTCTTTACTGCAGGTGCAGAAGAGGGTTCTGCCCTGAGTCACGTTGGCCACCTGCAGCAGCAGCTCTGTCTCACTGACCCTCGTGGCCAGGTAATCAGCTCCAGGAAGAGATATGGACTCCTTGTCTCCAGCACTCCTCAGGCTGACAAGAAACTGCAGCTGTTGCTGGAGATCTTGCTGGTACCAGCTCATCCAGGGGTACTGAGAATCCTTCAGGATGCAGCGGAGAGTCTTTGTCCACCCAGTCTGCACTAGGGTCCACCGGGGGCTTTGCTCCATCAGGCTGACAGAGGCTTCTGAAACACAGAGGTCGGCCAAGGTGAGATTAAACAGTGTGGTCGCCCCCAGGAGGAACTGACTCAGCTGAGTGCAGAGGAGGGGACCCAGGAGATACCAGGAGGCTGCCCAGAGCAGAGGACACCGATCTTGGTGAACTGCAGTGCTGGGGTGAGGAGGCAGGGTGACCTCTCTGGCTATGGGGCTGCAGTGACCCATCCCTCTGGCCCTCCCTCACCTGTCACTGAGTGTCTTCCTCTGCTTGCCACTGACCTGCACTCAGAGCAGCCAGGACCAACCAGCCACACAGAATGGGAAAGGAGCCCATCCCTGGCCCCTCAGGTTCTCTGTCACAGGCCATGGGACAGGCAGCCAGGATAGAGCCTACGGTCTCCGCCTAGGAAGTGTCAGTCAGAGGTGGATAGTTCTATAGGCCCCAAGCTCAAAAGGGCGTGGAGTCCTCAGGAAACTGAATAAGTTGTCTCATCTCCCTGAAGCAAAAAACCTCAAACCACAGGTTTGCGTGCTTTCCTGCTATCCGAGCTCCACGAAGCATGCCAACTTTCAGCCCAACCCACATTCATGAAGTGTCTCCGTGAACAGGAGCAACTCTGTATCCCCTCAGCTGTGACCCAGAGATTCCTGGAAATGGTCTGAGTCTGAGCCTCAGATCTTTGCAGGGGATGAAAATTTCTTCATGCTGCCCATGACGCCTATAACATTGAAGAAACACACTTCTAGTCCACAGGCTTTATCTTCAAATGGAAGACACCCCAGGGCCACCCTGGGCAATCCGACAAGGGACATTCACCTCCAGTTATCAGTGTCTGACTTCGTGAGAGCAAATAGACTTTGAGAACAGGCTTTAGTCTTCCTGTACAAAACAAGAGAAGAGACCTCCCCCTCCCTCTTCTTCCACTCTCTTTCTTACTTTAGCAAACTGGGAATGGTGAGTTCTTTCCATCTCTTGTAGATGTATGTGAGCCCTTTAAGAAGATAAATGATCAGCTACATGCTGAGGGAGGAATGTATTTTTCTCAAGAACCTGGAACCTTGCTTGGCAATGTAATCAATCCTCAGGGACCACAGTGTCCCTATCTCCCTTTTGAAAGAAGCAGAAGCCTCACTTAGGAACCTACTTTAATTTAGGGAAGAGCCCAACTTAGAAGCCCCACTTAATTCCTTGTACCAAGTTACAAAACTTCCCTTTGTTCAAAGATATGTTTTTATTTTCTTTGGATAAAGTCATCTTGCAAACCCATGTCACCCAGTTGTCAAGTGCATGTAAGATGAACTATGTGTGACCAATGGGGTTGCCAATGCCTCCTTCTGAGGACTTCCTCTTGAGAAGATCACATGCTTGAGACAGCGTGTATGTGCTTAGCAATATCTGTATGGCTTTATGACAGAGTGAAAGCTCTGTCTATTCGGTCTCTCCTGAGTCAAGATTCATGGATATTATATTTTAGTTTATTCGGTATTAAAGCCATTTTTCTTTTTTCTTTTACTTCTGTTGAGTTTTTCATTATTTTACCTAATATTGAACTGTTAAATGTTTACTAGTTGGCTAATTTATCATATTCTGTTGACTTATAGTAAGTCATTTGCATGCAACTGTGTCATCTTTAATTATATTTTCCAATAACTTCTAACATCGTCGATTCCACTGGGTGAAATTTTCCCTCAGCTTCTTCACATGCAAAATAAAGCCAACATTGAAAACTGTTTCAAAAGAATGAATGAAGGGCTCAAAACATGGAAAAGTTCATAGACTAGGCCTTGGCATGGGCTAAGGAAGCAATAGTAATTGGCTTTTACTACTGCATTGGAAAATTTCCAACTTAATTAAACATGACAAAATTACCTGCGACACTTGTCTTTAGTTACCTGTTGGGTAGCACTCAAGTGAGAGGAAAAGGACAGGTCCCCAAGACTTTTTAGCATTGGTAAGAGGCTTTTGTTTTTACTTTTGGAACCAATAAACTAGGAGATTCGAGTTAAAAGCTCCTGTACCTATCATCTCTCCAATCTTAGCATTTCACAGACCACCATATGGAGAGAAGGACTCATTTTGCAGCAGCAGGATGTTGTTATCGCAAGACCTGGGCTTGTTCTGTAGTCACAAGGGTGTCTGCCCCATAACACAAACTTAGAGAAAAGTGGACTTGGACTGGCCAGAACTCAGGCCTGCCTCCCGCCGGAATCAAGGGCAGAGCAACAACAGGCACATGAGGGCAGCAGCCAGAGGGGCCCCTGGGAGCAGAGGCTCGTGGTCTGCATGCCAGGATCTCAGCGCTTCGGTGCCCTGCTTCTCCCTGAGGACAGTGTGTGGGCCAACCAGAGAGTTGGCAGGATAAGAGATCCCAGATCGTCTCCATTTACAGTACTGGCTGTCCTGTCTCCTCAGTGCCTGCTCCTGAGCCTAATCCCCAAGTGAGATTGGGATCAGAGCGTCTCCGAGGCTCCTGTTATCTCCCTCACTGGCACCCCTGTTCCTCAAGGTCATGGTGTCACCTGGATTCTGCATTGTCTAGTCTTGGCTGGCTGCCCACCCTGGACCCCGGTAAGCTTCTTGCTTCCAAATGGTTGCCTCACTCTCACCTTCTCTGCCAGGACCAGAGTTAGAGGCTGTGACTGCTGCTTGGGACATCTGCTGCCTTTTGTCTCTGATGACTACGCAAATTCTCATAGTACCAGCAGCAGCCTCGCCAGCTTCAGAACTCAGTTATTTAGTCTACGTGTATGCTGACGGAAGAAGTCAAGCAACTCCTCCTGGCATCTCTGTACCCAGCTGGGGCTGGCTTCAGGTGGCAGATGGCCTTGCCCTGCTGAGAAGCCCTCAGGCCACCTGTCTTCTCCACTATAGTAGGAGCACGGGCCACAGGAGGTGCTTCCCAGCCCTGACTGCTAGGTCAGCTCCCAGGAGGAGGTCGGCCTGAAGTTGGAGTGAGACTGGTTCTTCCCTCAAAAGCAGTCACTAAGAGTCACCAACCCCCTCCGCTAGTACACTCCATGGTGGAGAAACTTGCTGCCTTGCAGGTGTTAGTGACCTCTGGAAACCCTGGAAAGAGTGATCCCAGGCAGGACCCGAGTTCTGTCACCTCTGCCACTGACACAATGGGTGATCCCACGCTACTCACATTTCTCCCCGGGGTTCCCATTTTCTTATCTGAAAATAAAATAGAAAGGAGATTTTAGAAAATGAAGTAGACCTGATGTTTCTACTCTGCTATTCTAGTACCTCTTTTGTGCTTTTACTGTCTTATGTGGGATCAGCGTGCTTGCACAGGACATCGGAGGAAGCCTCCAGGGGAGACAGCAAAATACAGATTCTCTGAGAGCAGCTCCTCGAGGAAGGGAACGGCAAACGAAAAGTCTCTTACGCGCAATATCAGGCCTACTTCGCCCCATTTCTCCTGCTCTCCCCCTCACTTCTGCCTCTTCTTGCTCCTCCCCAGGGGTGTTCTGAAAAACCAAAGCTACTGGAGACTCCTCCACCTGAAAAGCTGATTACAGCCTCTTGACCTCTCCGTGTCCTTCCTGGAATCGACAAAGACTCCGGCAGAGATGGAAATCAGCCTCCACCACCCCTCCCAACTGCTGCATTCCTCCTGATCCTGGGAGGCTGAAAGTCTGGCTTTCATCCTGTCCCTGTCTCTGCTTCCACTTCCCTCTACACACAGGCAAACGAGAAAAACACATGTGAATGGGTGCAGGGCATAGGCCAGAAACATAATGCTCAGAAAGGGCATCTTAGAATACAGGGGACAGGGCGTCCTGGGGGAAATCTGCCCTCTACACTCTCTGGAGAGTCCTCCTCTGGTTATGTAAGTGGCACTAGTCTAAATCCAGAGCATAATCAGATCAGAAGAGCCCCCGCTTGTCCCTCCCCCATGGCATGGTGCCTGGCATAGGCAGGAGCACATATAAGCCCAGAGCTCTCGATTCCCCATCTGCAGGAAAGATCTCTGGGCCCCAAGAGCCATGGCCTGTGTCATTCTCTTAAAGTTCCTCCTGCTTCTGGCCCTCGAAGCCACCTTGCAAAGCCACCACCTTGGCCCCACCTCTCACCTGCGCTATTCCAGGTTTCTAGATCCTTCCAGCGTCCTTTTCTTGCGCTGGGACTTTGACCTCGATGCTGAGGTCATCGTTTTTGAGCTCCAGGTGCGAACAGCTGGCTGGGTTGGTGTGGGCATCACAAATCGCTACACGACTGTGGGAGGTGATCTGGTCGTCGGAGGGGTCCTGCCTGACGGCAATGTTTATTTCTCGGTAAGACTGAAGATCATGCCCTTCCAATGGTGAGCTCCTCTGTTGGGTAGGCTATGAGGATCCATATTTTCTAAACATACCCAACTGTGCCCAGGGACACTCAGGGATTCTGAGTGTCTATTTCCCCTTACAGAAATGGTCCTACGGTAAAGTTTGCGACCTATATGTTCCATATTACGTGTCTCCAACCTGCTAAGAGCATGAAACCTTTAGACTGTACCGCTTAGTTGCTAAAAACCCACTAAATTCTGGTCCCTGGGAAATGTTCAAAGCTATCGAAGACACACACTCCATCCTCAGTTTCCTTTAGGTCAATCAGGTGAACTGCAGCAGGACACAATTGGAAACCGGCAGCAGCCACTGCAGCAGTGGTATCAATGTCTTAGATTGTTTTTTTTTGTTTGTTTGTTTGTTTTTAAAATTAATTAATTAATTTATTTATGTGTGTGTGTGGCCAGCTCAGCCCACCAGGGGGCGGGGCTGGCTGGCATGTGGTGCTGGGGGATTGAACCGTAGTTTTTGTGTTTTGCTAAGCTTGTTCTAAGTAGGTGCTTTAGACCACTGAGCCATCTCACCAGCCCCTCTTAGATTGTTATTAGCTTTCCATAAACTGGCCATTGTCCTGAACTGCTTGCAGTCTAGACCTCGCAGTAACACCAGGAAGTGGATTATTATGATTTGCATTTTCCATGTCTCCATCCCAGCCATTCTGAACTCAGTCCCTATTCTGACCTGCACTTAAATAGGGAAATGCCCATTAGCAGGACAGGGCAACGTATGTTAAGAGCCACACTAGAAAGAATGAATGGCAGAGACCACTCAGAAATTAAGTGACCTTCTGAGGGCTGAGGATAGAAGAGCGCTGGAGTAAAGAAAGATGAGGCTTGAAATGGGAGAAATAAACAGAGGAGGAGGGGGGATTCCATCTTCCCAGAGAATCCATTTCTTGGTGCCTGGATCTGCCCTGGGTGGAATTTACATAGAAAAGCAAACCTCAGTCTCACCACTTACTTTACCATCCTGAGGGATTTAAGGGGACACTTTCTGTCCTCATGAATGATCGTCTGTGCTTCTGTTCCTCTTGACCACCACCCGGCCATAGGATCAGCACCTGCTGGATGAAGACACGCTAGTGGAGGACGGAAGCCAGGATGCTGAGCTGCTGGGCCTGACGGAAGACGCCGCCTACACCACCATGCGTTTTTCCAGGCCCTTCCGCTCCTGTGATCCTCACGACCAGGACATTACGGTACCCTCAGGCAGGCAGAAGAGTACTTAGTCCCAGCAGAGTTTCCACCTGGGGAAGTCAAGTCACCCCAGTTATACATCAAGTCACAGCTCCTGGGACTTCTGTCCCTCTCAGTCTTCAGGACCAACCAAATTGTGCCACATCCTGAAATCTGCCCACCTGCCACGGGGCGAGCCCTGGTGATTCAGTGCTCACCCAGCCTCCTCCTGGTGAAGAATCTTGCCTAATTCATTGCATTGAAAGTGCTGGGATTTCAGTGGGTGGCTCAGCTCTCTCACTTTATAATAAGGACACAGGCATTGAGAGAGTGTGGGAGAGTGTGGGACTTGCCAGTGTGACCAGCATGTTAGCTCCAAAGACAGGATTAGAAGTGGACTAGCTCCCTCTGACCTTCCCCTTCCACTGGGTAGACACGAGTGGCTTAGGTAGGGCCTCGGATGCAAGTACGTGCAAAGTGCCACTCATCGGTGGCCCCCTCACTGTCTGTGGCACCCCTAGAGTGACACAATGCGAGTCCTCGCTGCCTATGGCCTGGATGACACCCTGAAGCTTAGGCGTGAGCAGACCTTTGTCAAGTCCATCTTCCTGCTACAAATATTCCACCCTGATGATCTGGAGTTCCCTGCAGACACCATGATCCATGACTTGGAGATCACTGATGTAAGACCTCCCCACCCACCCACCTACCTCCAGCAAACCACCCCCTGTTACACCCTGTTCCTGGGACTCCTCTCACACCTCATCTAGCCCTAAAATGAACCTCCTAGAGGTAAGGGACCCCACCAGTCCTACCCAACTCAGCCTCTGCATCCTTCCCCAGTTCCTCATTCCAGAGGTCGACACCACCTATGCTTGCACCTTTCTGCCTCTTCCAATTGTCAGCGAGAAGCATCACATCTTCAAGGTACATGAACAGGGCTGAGGAGGCGGCCAGAGTGAAGCAGGCTCTAAAGAGCAGTGCTCAGAAAACCACTCAGAAGAAGCTTAGGGCAGTAGCTGGGGAAAGAGGGACCGGCTGGGAGTACAGGAGAGGCAGTAGTTACGCAATTCCTACAGCCCAGAACTACAACCACCAGCGGTACTTTATTCAAGCATCACCACGCAGCAGGCAGGTTTTGGACAGAGGATATTGGTTAATAAGCATTGGCAAAGAACAGAATCTGAGGCTCAGTCTGGCTGCAGCACTGTGCCTTCTGCTCCCAGACAGAAGAAAAGGCTGGAGGGGCTGCGACCACAGCTGAGAAGGGGCGCGAGCTTTGGCTACAGTGGACACGAGCTAGACCATTTCGCTTCACACTGGAGAAATTTCTATTTTCCCCAAGCACACAAAAATATAATCTCAGCATAGTCCCCAGCATTTAAGAGTCAATTTTTTTTTTCAAGAAAGAAAATCCAGGGCCAGACAAATAGTTCAGCAAATTAAAGCACCTGCTTAGGCAGACGCAGGGGCTGGGAGTTCGATTCCCAGGCCTGCTCTGCTGGCCCTGCCCTCAGGTGAGCTGAGACTGGGCGTGGTGGAGTTTGCCTGTAATCCCAGCATTTGGGAAGCTGGAAACAGGAGAATCACTACGAGTCCAATCTAGGCAGTGAGACCTTGCAGCCCCTGTAGACCCTGTCCTTAATGCAAAAATCAAAGAAAATCCAAAGAGGTGCTGACACAGGTACAAAGGTCATGGAGTAATTAAGGCTCCTGTGTCAGTCTGCTGGGAATGGCCCCAGCCAGATTCAGCACTGCTTCCATTGTTTATGGGCAAAAGGTTTTAAGGAGTGGGAGTCGGAATAAGAATCAAACAGGAAAGGGCAGAATGGTAGCTTGGGGAAAAGAAACAGAAAGTGAAGAGGAGAGGAAGGAATGGAGAGAAGTGGGGATACCTTGGTTTTATTGAGGAAAAGGGTGGGAGGGCGAGGAGCTGTCGTCCCCAGCGCAGGCTCCTCTCTGCCCTCCTGTCCTTGTCCAGTTTGAGCCCAAGCTGCTGGAGCACAACGAGACCATGGTGCACCACATCCTGGTGTACGCCTGCGGCAACGCCAGCGCCCTCCCCACCGGCATCAGCGAGTGCTACGGCTTCGACCCCGCCTTCTCCCTCTGCTCACAGATTATCGTGGGCTGGGCTGTCGGGGGCCTCGTAAGTGCCACATTGGGGGACAATGCGTGGCTGGGAGGGGTAGACATTGCTGAGCCCTGGGGATGGAAGATTGCAGGATGGCGAGGTCTGCATGAAGGGAGAAAAATGACAGCCAGAGTCCCGGAGCCCTGCAGCGAGCTCCCAGCCCATCCGGCTCAGGATCTCTCTCCCTCCACCAGAGTTACCAGTTTCCAGATGAGGTGGGCATCTCCATTGGGACCCCCTTGGACCCTCAATGGATCCGACTGGAAATTCACTACAGCAACTTCCACAACCTACCTGGTGAGCATGTGGGGCACTCCCAGGAGGGGAACGAGGTTCGCAGGGGCTGGGGCCGGGCGGAGCTGTGGGATCCGTGAAAATCTTGTTCATCACAAGACTTCTTGAGCCTCTTCACTCCACACTGTGTCCTGCTCTCTTGCCTTCTGAAGACATCATTTGTTCTGTCTTTGTTTTGTTTTGTCGCATTGTTGTTTTCCCGGGACCAGGTGTGTACGACTCGTCGGGGATTCGCCTGTACTACACTGCTCAGCTGCGCGAATACGACATGGGTGTCCTCCAACTGGGCGTCTTGACCTTCCCCATCCACTTCCTGCCCCCGGGCGCGGAGTCCTTCATGTCCTACGGGCTGTGTAAGACAGAGAAGTTTGAAGAGGTGAAGCTGGGAGACTCACCTTCCCCGGGGCTTCTTGTCCCCCCGCCCCCCCACACACAATTCTGTCTGATCCCCAAGCCTGCCCAGCCCAAGCCCCAGTCTTAGAGAATGACTGCCTCTTGGTGCTCAGGAGAATGACTCTCATTGTGATTCACACAAGGGAGGAAAGGATTTGCAGCTTTGGGGCAGGGGTGTAGAGCAGGCAGCAGGGTCAGGAGGGCCCGATAAGAAACAATAAATGTCAGTCATTTGTAGGAAAATGGATGCATCGTGAGACCATACTGTTACGTGAGATAAGACAGACATAGAAGGCTAAATACTACATGGTTTATCTTACACAAGAGAAACAAATAATTTAAAAAGCAAAATAAGGGCAAGGCCAAATGGCTCTGCCACTAAAGCGCCTGCTTAGGTTCAGCGCAGAGGCTGGGATTCGATCCCTGGCCTGCCATGCCGGCCCTGCCCCCGGGGCACCCTGAGACTGCAGTTGAGATTGGGCTTGATGGTGTGCGCCTATAACCCCAGCACTTTAAGAGGCTGAAAAACAGGAGGATCACTATGAGTCCGATCTACATAGTGAGACCCTGCAGACCTTGTACTAAATTTTTAAAAAGCAAAATAAAATATAGAGGATAGATAATGAAGAAGGTAGATTTTGTGGAAATAGAAAAAGGATATGAGGAGGGAGAGTAGAGATGGAAAAAAGAATTAAGAATGATTAGGATGCTAATGATGCATATAAGTAATTCTTACGCATCACAAACAAATAAACTATGCGTTAAAAAGAATTAAGGAATTTGTCAGTTGTAGGCAAAGAGGGAGATCTCAGATGTCAAGGGAGGAAAGGCGAGGCCTGGGTGAAGATCAGCACCTTCACCTACTAGGTGTGCCTCCTCCCTGTTGCAGATGAACGGGGCTCCAGTGGCGGATATGAAGGTAGTAAACTACCTGCTGCACACCCACCTGGCTGGGCGGGCGCTGAAGGCTGTGCAATACAGGTAGAGAAGACCTTGATTTGAAAATTTTCCTTCTGTCCATGGCAATAGTTCTTGGTTCTTCAGTCTAAGGTTATGCTTGGTTGAAATCGAGGGGCTCTAACCACTCCTAGAGTGGAGATGATTGAAACACAGCTGAGGAAGTTTGCGTGAATCTCATTTTTTCTGTTTCATTTTACTGGCAATCTGTGCTCCCAGAATGCCTCTGGATGCTGCGTATTTATTGATAGGCCCCGCCCCTATGTCATCATCTCAGTTCTGTCTTCTGTCTTGCTCTTCATCTAGAAGTGGAAGACAGCTCCGAACAATCTGTAAAGATGATGCCTATGACTTCAATCTGCAGGAAATTCGAGATTTACCTCATCTTGTGGAGATCAAGCCGGTGGGAACCCCGGGAAGGCATGGCTGAAGCTGGGGAAGAGCAGGATTGGAATTTAGTGCTAGCTGAGGAAATGGCACAGCCCTACTAGTCCTCTGCCGCTCACTCTCAGCTTTCATGTTTCATCCTGAACAGGGAGATGAACTGCTGATCGAATGCAACTACCAGACCCTGGATCGGGACTCCATGACTTTTGTAAGTGTCTCTCCCACCGTGAACACGAAGATATTAGCTCCAGCAAACAGCTCTAGCTGGGCTGTGGCCCTCCGGAGCCTGATGATCCTAGCGGATGCCGCTTCCTCCCATGTCACTCCCATGCATTTAAAATGGGTATAGGGCTTCCCAGTGTTCTCTGTCGATGACCCACTAAGACCACAGGGTTGGGCCTTAGCACCTAAGAGCATGAATTGTGTGTCCTCACTCTTTGGGTTCAAATGGCAACATAATCATTTAGCAACTTACTACACTTTGACAAATGAGTCAACCTCTCTGTGCCCGTTTCCCAGTTTATAAAAGAATTACTACTAGTATCTCATGGAATTGTTGTGAGAGTCAGTTAACTCCTGCTTTGTATTAGATGCTCCCTTAGAGTTAGTGGCAATTACCAGGATCACGAAGAACCCCACACATTATGGATGTCATTAGTGGTTTGGTATCTGTGGGATTCCGAAGGGGTTGTCTCCATAGAAATGATTAATCCAAAGCAGAAAGTCACACATGGCATAAACAAGTAGAGACGATGGTTTGGGTGCACTTGAAGGAACAAATCCTAAGGGAATGAACTGAATGTGTGACTCAGGTGGGAGGGCCTGGCTTTAGACACTCAGAGGTAGGGAGTCCAGAGGAAGGACAAGAGTGAGAGAGCCATTGGCAAGGAAGGCACAGAGTGTGCTGATAGGTGAGGAGCCTGGGTGGAGGCTAAGGAAGGGGAACAGATGCCTGCAGTGATGGAACAGGATTGAGGGAAGTGGGACAGGGAACGGCCCTTGAAGAAGGGCCAACCTTCCCGCCTTGATTCATGGGAGGGAGAAAAGGATTTGGGGATTTGGGGCAGGGATGTAGAGTAGGCAGAAGGGTCATAAAGGTTCAATAAGAAAAAATAAATTTCAGTCATTTGTAAGAAAATGGATGCATCTCGAGTCCAGCTTGAGACCTCAGACAATGGGCTCCAGCTCTGTCACACTCTAAATACTTGTCAGGAAAGTAAAATCAGCAATTGGGTTGAAATTTACTGTACGTGATCTAAGAAGTTGTTTAGTGAAAAGGGCCTCTTATTAACAGATGGTTAGAAGATGCCAACATTTACTTAGTAAGTAGATGCCAGAATGAAAGATGTTTCAGGAACAGACTAAAAATGTAGGGAGGTCAGATTACAATCAGGAAAGAGGGCTAAGTGGTATTAGTCAGAGTCTAATAACTCAAGCCAGGACACAGAATAGAAAATCAGAGAACAAGGAAGACATGTGGGCTATTGCCTTGGAAATAATAATTGTCTGGGGCTTGAAAATAGAGAAGGAAATGGAGGAGGAGGAGGAGGAGGAGGAGGAGGAGGAAAGAAGAGTCAGGGCGGGAAGAGTGAGCTCTTTCTAGGTGAAGGGGAAGGGAAAGGCCATTTCTGCCAGAATGGCCTCCTGCGCTGCATTCCCTCTGCCTTGGTCTCTTCTCTCTGCATTTCTCTGTGGCTTTATGCCTCCATTTCTGGCATCTTTTCCAGGGAGGTACGAGCACCCTTAATGAGATGTGCCTTGTCTTCCTCTTCTACTACCCCCGAAATAACATCTCTAGCTGTCTGGGGTACCCTGACATCACCCACGTGGTCCAGGAGCTGGGGGAAGAGGCTGCAGTGTGAGTCATCCTGGGAGACAGAACCTACTTCTGTGTGAGGAGGGATGAGGGGAGTGCTGAGGCAGAAGGAAAAGGAGATGGAGAACGATACCCTCGACTGGTCCGGGGTCCTCATCGGGGAGCCTAATCATCTCCTGTCCTCCTCGCCTCTGCATCTACTGGTGTCAGATGCTGAAAACTCCAGAGCAGACAGGAGTTTGTGAGATGCTTTCCACCAAGACTATTCAGGAAACAAACACCAGCTGCTTCCTGTGAGTCAGGTCCGCCCTACACAAATCTATGCTCACGTGAGCTTCTTGACTCAACGTTTGCTTGCTTTCAAGTCATGATCCTTAATTATCTGAGGGTAAAGGTTCTCACTGGAGACTCTCACAAGAGCTCTGAAATGTATCCATAAGACACACTGTACATCTGTGCATACACTCATTCCACCCATAGTTCAGGACAATTGCACGACTTTTGAAGTCACTCTTGTCCACTTTTTTGGGCCCTATGCTCCTAAATTAATATGCATGCCAGTAAATACAGTCTAGAACTTGCCTCTCAGGGGATGTTTCTTCTGTTAAACTCATGGCGGTTCAGTGAGTTAGTAGCCATTCAGTATGCGTTGTGCTGGAACGATGCACACACTAGCAGAAATGGGGGTGCTTGCCATGTATTTTGTCAAAGCTCAAGTAAACCCTAAACCACTATCTTTCCCCCTGTGCTGACCACACTGTCACAGAAGCCCCATGGAGAACCTGATGGTCATGGACAATGTTGAGTGGACTCCAGAGAACATTAAGATAGCTGAGAAGGCCTGCAAGGAGGCCCAGCAGACAGTGATGCTGAAGACGATCGATGTGCGTGTTCTCCGAGATTCCACCTGCCCAGGCTGGGGGAGGGAGGCTGGGAGGTGTTAAGCAAAAGCAGGAAAACAGAAAGATGGTGGAAGCAAATGACAGGGTAGGGACTCAGAGCTGAACAAGGCAGGGCTGAGAGCAGAACTGTATCAGGGTTATGGGTGTGGCTTAGCCTTCCCCTTAGGTTATGGACTCTGTAAACTTGGGCAAATTTAGCAAGGCTTCAAGGAAGGGAGAGGGCCTAGGGGAGCTTGTGGGTTTACCCTTTTTCTTCCCTTTCCTGCAGGAGTTGATAGAAAACACAACAGGCTGGATTCCTGACATCATCCCTACACTACGGGGCCCCTGTTCCGAGTCCACTGGAGGCAAAGTGGAGCCCCAGGACCAGACCCCTGCAGGATTCCGGGCTGCAGCAGGGGCCCTCTCTAGCTCCAACACTGCTGCCCTGCGGAGCATGCCCCTGGCTGCCCTCTTGCTCCTACAGGGGACCCTCCCCTGGCTCCTTGCCGTGCTGCAGACTGCAGTCTGATTCTGTCTCTCCTTGATACACACCCAGAACCCTCCCTTTCTTCAAATCTTCCTCTTCCTTCCCACACAGAAACGACTCCCTACTTTGGCCCCAACTGTGTCCCCCATCTGAGCCCCTCCCTATGATGGCAGGCCTGTACTTCCTGAAGCCTGGCCTATGCCACACTAGGGAACTCATCCTGAGACCTTTAGGACCACTGGGGGACCACACGTGCCCTGAACAGGTCCAATTTTAGAACAGGTAGTGGATCCACGCTTGGGAAAGTCTGGGGCCCAGCCTCCGAGAGGATGCCATGAGTGGGAGCGCAAATGCCCCAGCCCCCTCAGTCTTCCTGCCAGGGGCTTCTCTTTCTCTTCTCTGGTGACATGTGTGTCCTCTCTGTGCAGTATCAGTAGAAACCACAAGGGAAGAGGGACTGATTCTGGAACAGGAGAGCCTCTGTTTAAAAAGATAAAGTTGCACACATCATCTGATAGAACTCAACTTATTTCCTCTCGCCGTATCATTTTTTTTTTGAGCCTTTAGTCCAGGAAAGACAGCTGATGATCCCTCAAATGGCTCATTTTAAGGGCATCTGAGGAACTCAAGTGCAGATGTGCCCCCCAGTACAACATTTAATGTACAGCCTTTTCCGTCCTCCTCCGTGTCTCCACTATCAGGCAGTCACTTATCCCTCCAAATGTCACCCGGCCACACACAGGTCACCCGTGTTGAGAGCCTAACTGGACAAACCGAACAGAGCTCTGCACACAGGCGAGAAGCCAGGTGCAGAGGCATCCCTCCCCCCGGAGCCCAGGCTTTGTTCACAAAGTTCATAGGCACAGATCAGCAACGGTGCGGAGGCTTCGTGGAACCGGGCTGCAGCTCGAAACCCTATTTCTCTTGGTAGAAACTTCTCTAAGAGCCTCGGGGAGCAAGCACACTGGGGTCTAAGCTTAAAAACTCAGCAGCGCTCTCTCCATTTAGCCACCATATTAATCTAAGAGCGGCCCTGTGAACTGTCCTCTAGGGGGCGCTCTTACCCTGGATTTTCAGTGGTGCTTAGTGGGGTCTTCCCCAGGGACCCAACGTAGGCTCTCAGCCAACTCCACATCACTGCTGGAGGGTTTGGCATGGGTCTCTCGCGGCTGCTAACAGAGCAGTATCCTCCTGTGTAGTTTGTGAAGTGCATCAGGGACACTGAAAGTAATGAGCCTTTACTGTCATTGTCCCTGAAAACTTCAGGGTGCTACATGCTGAGGCTACAAAACCCTCCCTGCCCACACTGGGCTCCCGCAGTCTGCTTTGTATCTTAACGATCACAGCCACTTCTGAGACCCATAAAACGTGAACAGAGGTGCTCGCTGCCCCACCGCTAAAGAGGCTTTGCAAAGTCCATGATTCTGAAAAGCGAGGCGCAACTCAACGTCTAGGCTTCGGTGCGCATCACCAGTCTCCTCGTCTGGCGCCAGGCAGAGACGATGGAGGGTTTCTTTCGGTAAGGGTCCCGAGGCATCTGCCAGATGTCTGAAGCACAGAAAGTCCTTTCCACAACATAAGTGTACACACAGATAAAAGTGAGATCTAGATAGAAATTAAAACAACTGCAACATATCATTTCTCCCCACTTAGCTGGTCTGATGAATGAGCAGGTCTGGCACCCTCATCCAACCTGCAATATTACAGGGCTTCCCAAGCAAAGTCTTTCAGCCCCGGTATTTTAAGAAATATTTTGCAGTTGACAATCAGGTGTCAGCCTTTGCTTTGAATTGCAGCCGTGGGCCCTCCACACCCCAGATCTCCCAGGCCACCCCAGTTCTGCAGACAGAACTGCTAGATAGCTCTCTGCCCAGGTCTTGGCCTACCACGGTTCCCAAGCACCACTTCAATTTCGCCTCGTTTCCATTCTATTTTTCCCCATTCCATCTGCTGATCCCGGCATTTACTCATCACACACAAATTTACTGAGCAGCATTTGTGTCCTTGACATGACAGGTCAAGAACAGAAACCACTAAAATGAACAAGAAATCAGGAAGAACATAAATGTCCATGAGCCCTATAGCTCATGGGCATTTCTTTTCTTCTTGGGCTGACTCTGTCCACCTCAGAGCTCTTCCCAGAGCCACCCAAAAATCTCTCTCCTGAACACCTCAAAAAAAAAAAAAAAAAAAGATGGTATTTAAGCCCAGCCTGGGCTCAACTCTTAGTAAGACCTTGGTGTAAAGTAAACTATAAAAGAGGGCTGGGGACATAGCTCAGCATTCTAATTGTCTGCCTGGAAAGCACAAGGTCCTGGGTTCGATCCCTGGTACTGCATGCTGTGTTGGCCCCAGAACTCCAGATGCACCATGCTGGCCACCAAAATCAGGCATGGTGGTGCACGCCTGTCATCACAGCACTAGAGAGGCTGAGACAGGAGGATCACTACAAGTCTGAACTGTGTAGTGAAATCCTTTTTACAGTAAATAAATACAATTATTTTAAAGGGGAGGGTGGCTGGGACTGTATGTCAGCATGAAGGCCCTAGGTTTAGTCTCCAGTAGCACAGAAAGAAAAGCAGAACTACAAAGCATGATAGAAAGATAAAGCAAATGTTTAATTAGAAAACATTCCTTACAGTAAAACACTTTGACATTAACCTCCCCACCAAATGCTCCCATTTACCTTGTATACGTTAATCCCCTGCCTTTGCCACTTTCTGAATCAATGCTGGCAGTCCTCTCTCATGAGGATCTTGGAGAAATGTGGTCAAAGCACAGGGAGCGTGTTACCAAGCACCATCCAATAGAAAGGCAAGCTCGTGGAAGCACTGGTGTCTCATCTTCTACATAGTTTAACGGATCTGTCACTGTGTGATAGCTACTCTCCCTCAAGGTCAAAAGGCCCATGAAATGTAGAGAGCTGATTCAAGAGACTGAGTCACAACACAACTTCAGACACCCATGAAAGGACACTTCCAGAATGGCTTCTGAGCGTGGCAGGCACAAAGCAGTGTGCTTGAAGTGGGGGAGCACTTTGAGTGGCATTAAAAGTAATAGGTCTTCTACTATATAATTTTACAAAATTCATGTCACCATATATATCACTCATACCTTAAATATTTATAACAGCCTATAGAAAGAGATACACTTCTTTTTAAATTTTTATTCATTTTAATGAGAAAAGAAGATAGAATAGCAATTAAACAGTTTCAATACAGGTTAGCAAGACATTTACAATAATTAATGCATTGCATATTGTTGTCTTCATAGTAGTTATTCAGAGGACAAGATGCAGACATGATATATTGTCTGAACAACATTAGTACAAACTTTTATTCTCAGTGAACTAAGAGAAAGTAGCTGTATATCTATCCTAACTCTTGTATATACATTATAC